TGTTCAACGTGCGTGGGCCTCATCAGCCCTCAAAGTACAATGGAAAGAGTGTGTACCGCGCTGCAGCTCTAAAGGTCGGGAATTCCGCGGTACTACCTGTGCTCACTCGTTCGTGGACAGGCACGAGTTTCGTCTGCTTCCAGCAGGGCAAGTGGGTCTTTGAGCAGGTTGTATACGGCATCGCAAAAGTGTGCGGCCAGAGTTACAGTAGTCGCTTTGGAGCAACCTCGTGCAAAGCAAGCACTCCGCATGCATGCTGTGGCAAGCGAATTCGGACTGATCAGGTAGCGGCTGCTAGCAGCGAGCAAGGGCAGATCGAAGCTAAGCAGGGTACAGCAGAGCGGTCTCGGTCTAACGGAGAGTCAAGAGTGTTCGTTTGCATTGCGACATCAGTATGTCAAGACGTTTTCACCCGACCTGCTGCAGCAATTGGCCGCAACTTGATTGCGCTACTGATGCAGCTTGCGCTCGTGTGGCGTCGGCGCACAACGGTCTGTACGCGCGCGGCGCATGCTGCTGGTGAGCAAGCGTGGTGGAGGAGTCTCATTGCGCTGCCCATCGCACGATCTGGAGTTCGCACTGCACCAGGGCCGGGCGACCATGAGGAGCGCCGGACATGTGTCGCGAAGAAAGTCATGCTAGCTGTGGGTCACTCGCATCGTGGCGCCATAGATGAATAGGGTCTAGCGCCGCTGGAGCCAAGGCGCAAAGTCCGCTGCCCCGTTGGCCGTCAAAGCAGCCATTCGACTAATTGCTACGTTGTAGCATCTCGCGTAAGATTGCTTTCCCCCGCTTAATCGGGCACACTGGCTGAATCAGCAGCTTGGGACGGATCTCCACGCACTCTCTTGATCGCACTCTCGTGATACATCGGAGCGAAGCTGCCGCTCTTCAGCATTCGCGCAGGTATTTGCCTCGGAATACGCAACGCGCTACCATAGCGCCCAAGACGATGTGAGACGGGGTCCTGTAGCCGAATTAGCCGAGGTGACCCGATCAGCAGCATCAATGCGTCCGACTTGCGTTCGCGCGGGTGGACGCAGGCAGGAGCCAGCCTCACGAGCCGTACATAGGAAGGCGACCGACGGATGTACTACACTCCACTTTTAGGTGTGAAGTAGACGCACCACAAGCTGCATCATTGCTCTGCGGAATCGAACAGCCGTCCATCCACTGTTGCTGAACCAGTGTCAACCTCGGGAAGAAGACACGAAGAGCCAGGCTTGGCAACAGACCATATGCAATCACAAAGATACCACATGCACGCGTTTTACATTGCCCCGCCGTCTCATTCGATCGTGAATGTCGCTGCAAGCGATACGAAGACAGGGCACGTCCGCCACTTCTATATTGGTCGATCTCTGCGAGACTTTTGTCAGATTCAAGAAGTGATCGAGATGCTGCAGACATCAACATTCACGCAACAAGGAACACAGATTCGTCCGCCCTCCTTTGATCCACCTTGAGCAAGGACGATGCTGCACGTAGCGTAGAGTGCTCTCACATGCACGAAGTTGCATGGGTGGAGATTTGAACCACTGGGCATCGGGGCAGGAGAGCACACGGGAGCAAAGTCATGCATGAAGATGTCTTAGATGTGGGCGCCGCCCCTTCAGCAGCGGCAAGCCAGGCAGGGGGACGGGCAAAGGGCAAGGAACTGATATGCCCGTCGGCCAGACCACTCCGAAAGCCGCATCTCCGCGCCTTCCAGGCTCGACTCCTTTGCAGAAGTTGTACGACTCGCAACCTTTCAAATTCGCCTCGCTTGGCGTAGGAGGTGCCACGGCTTGTTCCTTCCAGCGTACCGAACCGTCGGTTCTGACTAGGTCTACTGCGAGCGGCTAGGCGCTCTTGCTTGCATGCCATGACCATCATCTCGAAATTAAACACTTCTAGTGTGCCAGTCCGTGCGGCAGCCAAAGAGCGATCAAGAAAGCCGCCTCCAGCAATCACGCCAATCTGCTTCGTAATCAGACGTGCCGCTATACTGATCTGGTCGAGCAGGCAGGCACCTATCGAGCAGCTAATCGGCTCGCACGTCACAGCTCAGCGCTGCTGCTGCGAGACTACCGACAGGTGCATGAGTGCGGACATTTCCTGCAGGCGGCACCAGACACCGTGCAGCAAAGCACGGGCTATATAGGTCATCGACGGACTCTTTCAAATCGATGAATTGTGAAATAATAATAACAATTCCTCAAGGTTGTCCGTCCCTCGATCGGCGCTGATGGGACTCGTGGAACAGACCAGACTTGTGCAGGAACATGGGACACCGCGGTCGTCCAACCAAAAGTGCTGACATCGAAGTAGCGCAGCAAAGACGGACGTGAGACGCGCAAGCGTACAGCGCGCCTGTACTTGACTGAGGGGTAACGCTCCGATCGCTGCTGTGATCTCTGTTGCGAGACGAGTTCTGACTCGATAATAAGGACAGACACATGGCAAAGATAGCCGACTTGCATTCCCGCTGTAGACTTTGGCGCATGGTGCAGAGCTCGGAGCGTGAGGAGCCCGGCCGACTCGAGATATTTCGGGATGTCCTTTGTCCTATCCTTGCAGATTGACCTCGTGGTCGTGGCGCTGCCATGACCAAAATATATACGCACGCTGACGTCTCGCAAGTGCTCCTTGCGGTTGTTCCGAAACAGTGAGTTGTCAGCAGAGTAGCCAGAGCAAGATTTGACGTGGGGCTGTCAATTCTTGCAGCAATACACCGCGATATTCACCCAGTGCATGCACACCGCCCGCGAGATGTCCAAATTAATTGCGGTTCACGGCGCATTTGTGGCGCGCGCATGTTCCACACTGACCAATGTATGTACGTGCAAGCCACACGTTGATTGCCCATAAGGTCAGTCGCCATGCAGCATTCGTGATGCTCAGCGTGCACCGGGCCATGTCTATCCGCGGGTCTTGAGCCCTGCTATCGTGCCGTGACCCACTTGACAAATCTCTGAGGCATAAGGCACATGTCCGCCGACAGAAGCCACACTAATTCTTGTACCAAGCGCCGCCTGCCGGAGATCTGGCTTGGCATCGGCAGTTAATTGCGGCAAGATCAAAGATTACCGCGTTGCGAGATGTCGTCGATATACCGAGTGACTGGCGGATTGGTTGCAATGTCAGATCATCTGACACGCCAATCACGATTCGTTATTGTTTCGAGAGATGAGTTGACAGCTCAATAGCCGTCTCAAAGTGCTCCTCTCCATCATTATCGCGTGGAAAAAGTAGCTGCGCGCCATTTGTGGAATAGGGTGAGCAAGCATGCTTCACAGCTATTCTGATCAGGCCAGGCAGGCACAGGCACTCACGAGTCCTTTCAGTCAAAATGGAAGCAGCGACTCACGACCGTCATGCAATTCGACATCTCTCATAGCCAAGACGAACTACAGCGTGGTCCAGCTCCGCGGGTCTAGGCGCAATCGAAAGTGTGACGCCGTCTTTGGACGACTTCGGAGTTTGAGATTGAGGCCCAGGCTTGGTCATCTTACGTACTCCGATCAGCAAGCTGCGGTACCCGATATGAATCTTGGGCCCGCTTCTGAACTTTTTTACCTTGTCAAAAAGGGTTCGTTTTATTCCCGCCATGCGCTTCCCACACGTGAATTACCTTGCCCATGCATCCGCACCGGCGCACCCAGTACAGCAGCCGCAATTGCATCTCCGCGCGCTGAGCAGTGAATCAAGTACTAACCCTATACGCGGTGTGCGCCGGATTAACGGCGCAAGATTGACCGGAAAAACAGGTCGGAGCTTGTCGGCGCGAGCCGTGGCCGATGATGATTCAATCAAAAGCGGCGCTTGATCCATGCAGCACGCGCGTCAAGTGAAGAAGACATTCACATTTAGCGCAAGAGCGCGGACGAATCTGGGCTAACAGGGGTGGGTGATCGAGTGAGTGGCATTGGATTCATCGGTCGCAAGAGGCGAGGCTAGCCTTTCTTGCCTCTCAACTACCAGGACACATAACTGGGTGGGTAGTGGGCACTCTGTCCATGCCGTTGTGATCAGACAGGTTGCAGAATTGTCAAGAGATTGAATCACAATGACGATGGGCGGGGAATCAAGGCTGGGGCTGCCACGGCTCGAATCTCACGAAGCGTGCAAAACAATAGAAAGACGCACGGAGCGCGACAAGCAGCGACGATAGCAGGAGTCACAGGCCCATGAGTATATGAACCGCATGGAGTTTGGAGGAGCTTGTAAGCTGGCCCAGAGCCGTCGAACAGCGCTGGGACGGTCGGAACTACGCTTTCACACGGTCAAACAGTCGCTTGAAATTTGCATGCATAGAGGCGAACGAAGCGGAAGAGGTCGCTTGGGATTGCTTTCTAATGAGTGACATGAGACGACGCTGCGCGCGAGAATAAAGAAGCTTGGTGACGCAAATGTGGAAGGGGAAGAACCAGTGGAGCAAGTAACCAGGGCTCAGTAGCCCTCAAGCTTGCTTTTCGTCGGCAGGAAGCACAACGTCATCTGTATAGGGCGGCAGCTCCTCGACGGCGGCCTTGGCATTACTTTCAGTCTCTGGCGGGTGTGAAAGAGTGATGCTTTGACACATGGGATCTCCGAGCGGCGAAATAGCGTCGCCTTGCTTTGCCGGCGTCGATCCCCAGTCGGCGTTCGGGGACGCGGGTGAGCTGTTCCGACTCGATGCAGGCCCATTGCTCCACGTGTCGTTGTCCAACTCTCGAGCCCAAGATCGATTCGCGCCGCCTTGAGACCACGGCTCGTACTCTGGCGCAGGAGGAGATGGCGTGCCAGGCTCAGATCTTCGCGTGAAGCCGCCTTGCTGACCACTGTAGGGCAGCGTAGAATTGTTGTTAGACATTTCGTCATCGCTGTCGCTCCAATTATGTGGCTGTCTGCTAGGACCTGCCCGTGTTGAGCTCACAAGGGCGTCGTCGTTTCCGTCTGCTTGGACTTCCTCGACCGCCTCGCTTTGCGCGCGACTAGAAGCGATCTCGGTCTTTTCGCGCGACTTTCCGCCAATTGGTCTGGTGGTCCGTCTTCGATAGAACAACAAGTATGCGGCTTTTGTCTTGACAGACTCTGGGTCCGCGACAGGAGTGACGCTCGAATCGTCAAAGTAGTGCCACTGACCATCGTCGGGGTTCTTGGCGTAGGCAGTGTAGTGTCCACCTCCCAGACCGCCAAAGTGGTTATCGACAGCATAGAGGTCGTATATGGGCGCGTCGGCTGCGACCGCATCGTCATTGGCATCGCTAGCCAGGCTTTCGATGCTCTCCGCCATGTTCATGACGCTCGGCACCTCTTCTCCCCGCGCCTCAAGATTACGAACAGACAGGGCGCCCTCTACTCGTTCAGTGAGGTCGAGACCCTCGATGGGAAAGTCGATGAGATTCTCAATTTTGTCGCGTGACTGCATTCGGCCTGCGCTGAATCGTTTCAGATGCACCACCAGAATGTCCGGCACTTTCCAAAGGTCGAACTTCTTCGCGGCTTGGCGGAAGTCTTTGCACGAGGGGCAATACCATGGGTCTTCTGCGCCCAGCTTTTCTTCCTTTGTAAATTCGTCGAGGCAGTCTTCGATGGTCACCAACTTGGGCTTTGGAGGGCCACCGCTGGCTTGAGCTGCCTCTCGTTCCGCCACGAGGTTGGGGTCCGTGAACGTTTCGTGAGGTCCCCACGGGACCTTTTGATTGGTCGTTTCCCCCCCAAAGACTGCGCGGTATGCCGCTTCGGGCCATGAGCACACGACTGCTCCACCTGTGTACACAAGGGGCCAAATGGTTCCCTGCCCGTCGACTTCGATTTCCGGATCCGGCTTGCGACTGGCGAACGGGGCGCCTCCGTCGCTTGCATCCTCCAAAGGCACCTCGCTGGCGGTGGGCACTCGCTCCGAGAGACGCTTGGCTCGAGCTTCGAGCTCTTCACCATCGTCCAGACTGCCGGGCTTCTTGGGCATCGGAGCATTGTCCTCCAGTCGATTCAAGAATGTCATCTTGAAGAGCCGCCGAGCGGGCCGTTGGGCATTGCGTGAGTCTTGCTCTGAAGCTTGTTTGACTTCAGCGCTCGTCGACGAATCAGGTACCATCCTGACTCCATCAGAGGTGATCTCTGCCACTTGATCTGGAGGGTTTTGTCGCGACAATGAAAGATCGACGTGCTGCACAACGTCTTGCTCTGCATTTGACGTTTGCTGCTCATGCAATTCCGAAGGGCTGGCTTCGTCAGCATCGCGCTTCGCTGTCACAGCATCTTGGCTGCCCGAGGATGACATGTGGGCCTCCAAGATATCCCTTCCTTCTGGTGTAGCATACGTGCAATACTGATCCAGAATTGCGTCCCGAATAAAGTCGACGTCGTTCGCGTGGGCTTTTGGGATGGTGACAAAGACAGGCAAGCCCACGGCATCTGGATATCTCGCCCGGCCGCTCGAGGAAGCTATGCGGTAGATGGGAAGGGTGGCGTACTCTTCACGCGGAGCCGGACCCGCCTCCTTGCTTTTGTTCCAACCTGCATTACCAGACTCGAGCGCCTCTCGCGTCGGATGCTTGAATTCGGCCCCTAGCTCGTAGAACGTCATAAAGTCATTGTCTGTGATGCTGCTCAGTGGTGTGTAGTCCGGAATGAAGTTGAAAATTTGCTGATTGAAGATGTCGACGCAGAACAGCTGAGGGGCAATAAAAGGGAGAGGGGAGGGGAAAAGGAGCAAGGGCAGGTTGACTTGCTCAGCGAGGTTTCCCAAGTATACAAGACGACTCAGGCCAAACCGAACTTACCCGGTTCGTATCCAAGCCAAGCCACTCGGCCAGCTTTGTCTTCGTCTGGCCAAATGTTAATTCCGCAGGACCAGCAACCTCAACCTGATCGAAAGACGAGATCATGGAGAAGACAAGAATGTGAGCGCACAACCCGGACAAGCAGCATGTCATACTAATGCCCCGCTCACCTCATACGTAGGCCGAGTGCTCGCGAAGGGCCGAACAAAGACTTTACGGATGATCTTTTTTCGGTTCGGAATGGGGAGGGTCAGATACATGAACGGGTCGAACTTGATAGAGACCTGGGAGGGGAGAGATGTAAAAAGGTACGCGGGCTAGCTCAGCACAAAGCCCTCTACGCGCATGGAAAGCTTGCAAACCACGCAAATGAACGCACCTTGCTGCACTCTGGACAGACGAGCGTGCTCTTGTATTGACCCTGGAACAAGTCCACGATGACCGAGTCGTTTCGCATCTTGTATATCTCCCACTGTCTCTTTGCGAAAGCGATCATGGCCTTTTCATCTCCACCTTCCCAATCGGGCGCCTCAATGTAAGGCTTCTTCTTGACTCTATTGAGATCTTCGTGCAATCCGTCCAGCAAAAAAGCTAACAGCTCCTGCGTGTCTTGCTGAGCAAAGCCAGAGAATTGCGGCGCGAACCTAGCCAGGGTCTGTTTGAATTCGCGGGGGTGTACAGCAGATCCTCTAGAGCTGGACCACAGCTTGAGCAATAATTCTCCAAAGGCTCGCGCTACCGCACCTCCCATGCCGAGGGGATTGTCCGTGTTGATCTCTTCCTTGTACACTCCTCGGACAAAATACTCCTTCAGCTCCTTCGTGTTGGACATGCATTGCAGCGCCGATGCCATGAAGCAGGTGTTGCCCAGATTGTAAAGACCCGTGAGACCATAAGAGCCAAGGCCCGCCGCATTTGCTCTGTCTTGAGCCGTCTGCGATCGAGTTACGCGCCCAGCTGAGCTCGTAGGTCGAGGAGGCGGCGCAGGCGGAGCAGAGGTGTTGCTTGTGGATGCAGCAGCCGCACCAGAAGCAGAGGCCTGACCGAATCTCTGCGAAAGGTAATCCTGATTGGGCTGTTGGGCAAAGATATTCTTGACCGAAGGAGCAACAGCCACCGGAACTCCGTCTGCGCCGAAATGCCAGGCACCTCGCTCCGACTGCGACTCGACCGCGAGGTGAATGACAGGCTCGTCCAGTTGCAGCTCCGCTAGACTGGGCCGTGTGCGAGTCTGAGCATCTTCAGATGCGCGTACTAGCTCCACGCCTGGCGTCTTCAACGTGTCGGCATCGACCAGCACCGGCTCAGTCGTCTGCGCATTGCCAAACGCAGTAGCAGGGATGCGCCAAAAGCGGACAGCATGATCGGGCAAATTTTCGCTCAAGAAGGCTCGCTTTGCTGCGAATTTGAGCTGACTGACGTTGGACGTCACGGACAAGGTGATCTTGACGGGCGGGCGAGCTGAGCTCTGCAAGGTTGCCGGAGTGGCGAGTCGATATAGGTACAGGCGCGGGGGGTATAGCTCTATGCGCAGCTCTGAAGCAGCCCCTTTGATCACTTCTCGTACGACTTGCGGCCCTGCTTCCCCATATCTGATTGCGCAATTTCGCAACAGGGTTCAGTGAGGAGCAGATTGAGCGAGCTAACTGGCAGACTGCACTCACAAGGTGGATAGAGATGCGTAGGCAGTCTCGGGCAAGAGCACAAAGTCGCTTCCCTCGAAGAGCTGCAGCTTCATTTCCTCCTCAACATCCAACAATGAGCGAGCAGAGATGGGACCCGGCTTGGTGCCCACACGAGACGAGTCGATCGCTTCTCCCAGAGGCTGAGCCGGTGCACTGCTTTCCGCAGAACAATATGCCTGCCAAGCAGCCCACCAAGTAGCATCAATGAGATACCATCTCTGACCCTCCGCTAAAGGCTCTTCAGCCGATTTTTTTATTTTCCTCAACTCTTCCGCGCGTGTACCTTCTGCTGGCGTGCCGGGCTCTGCAGGAGTGTGACAGCTGACGCTTTGCTGCATGGCATCGGTGTAGGTGGGAAGCGAACCCTCGATGGTCGGAAGTGTGCTGGGAGGTTGTGCACTTGAAGCTGCGAGGGGTGCGCTTTGATCGTCAGCCATTTCGACGTCCTCACTGGTAAGGTGAGCGCGCGAAGGTTGATCGTCCGGTGACATGCGAGACACCAAATTGGAGCTTCTAGTGGAGGAGTGAAACGGGGGAGTAGATGCTGGTGAAGGAGCAATGGAGCCGATAGATTGCTTGGCGAAGCCGACCCGAAGCGGAGTGGGTAGTCTGGTTCGAGCAGCCGTACCGCTCGTAACGCTATTCCCTTCCGAATCTGCGAAATCGGATCCTGCACCAGCTTCGACTTCTGCTTCTGCCTCCAACTCTTCAGTTGTTGCAGGGCTTGCCGTTCTGGCTCGCTTGTAACTGCTACCTCCACTCCTGCGCGGTCCCAAATCCAGCTGATCGTCCGAGCTGAACAGTGCCAGATCGCTGCTGCTGCTCGCACGAGCCGTACTCGCTGTCAATGCCAAGTCCGGGCTATAATCGGATCGAAAGGGGATACCTGACCGATCTGGACTCAATGGACAAGGCCTTCGTGCAGAGGTGCGGGGACTGTCAGGAATTGCGCAGTCCGAGGATCCAGGAGTGTGCTGAAGAGGTTGATGTTGCGTGAAGGAAGATTGCAGACGAGGTGTATGTGCATTGAGCGTCGAGTCGACAGTCTGGTGCTGGTAGGTTTTGTTGCTGCTGCCGCGCTGGTGAGCCTGCTCTGACTGTGATGTGGAGTCGGATGGCATGAGGCGAATGGGTGAGATGATGAGTGGGCAGTGACGTCGTTGCAGAGCTATCACGGGAGTGAGTGATGCCCCGCTTGGGTGCGTTAGGGTATGGTAGCAGGCTGGTAAAGCCACGGATGATGGGAGTCAAGTGGTCCTTTGGTGCGGTATGGAACGTGCTCTGCTGCTGTGCTCGAAATGATGTTGTCGGCGTAGAAAGACGAGCGTGGTCCACAGACGGCAACAGAATGGGGCACGCCTGGGCCGGTGTTGAATGAGGGAGGGGGAGCATGCATCGAGTACGAGCAGCGTGGTCACACAAGTCGATCGCGAAGCACACGACGCAACTCGTCGTGGGCGGTGCGTGCGTGTGTGCGCGTGTGCGTGCGTGCGTGCGTGCGTGCGTGCGTGCGTGCGTGCGTGAACACATGCACCAACGCGCGGCCGTGGTTGATCGAATCACGATTTGTTCTCTGCGCTCATTTCTCTTTGCGCCAAAGATCAAGAGCAGAGAGATGGAAATCACGAATAATCACGCGAACGGCGACTCATTTGAATCGATGCGAACGAGCGACCCTGCATTGCCCCATTGTGATTTACATATCATGACCTGCAGCCTGCTGGGCGAGCCAGGCTTGCGCATACACAAGCAGGTAGGTAGGTGAATAGGCGAATGGTAGCCAATCAAGCATAAAGATAGATGAATCGAATTCGCAGCGGGAAGGCGCATTCCGTACAACAGCCACAGCGGCGAGTCTGAATGGATCACGAGTCACGAGTGCTACAGGAGTGTAGACAGATGGGCAGGACTTGAAAGGATCTCTCAGATCGAGGGTGTTCAAGCACTTGAGTCTGCGATGAGCCGGCAACCTCTGTTCAGAGGTGTGTGTGTGTGTTGGAAACGTGGGTGCGTGGATGGAAAGGCAGCAAGCAGGTGGGTGGATTGTGCGACTGGGTGTATGCGTGTGCCTCGCACGGTCGATCTGCTGCCCTCACACCAATCAAAGATGAGCCAGGCGCGAGGGCACCACGGCTACTATTTACGGTTGACAGCGAGATGTCAGCAGTGCGATCGAGTCGGGGTAAATCGTGATTGACGACCATTGAAGAAAAGGTGAATGAATCACCAAGGAAAGCGGCCGTTTTCGTATCCTAGGCGGATGAACCCACGCCACGTGGGTGAGCGTCAAAGTGGAGGGCGAGTGTGAGTCCAGATCGAACGAAGTCTTGAGACTCTTGACTCACACGCGCGCGCGCGATCTGCTGCGTCGCACACATGCATGCATGGCGCGTCCGACGCTCGACGAACACAGCGAACTTCCATGAACGTCACTTGACTCTTCTCGTGTGCTTTGCTCTGTTCTGCACCAAGCGTTTGATTTGGCATCCTCTTGACTAATCGTTGCCATTCTCGCGTTTCAGTCCGTCCGCATCCATCAAACGGCATAGAGGAGCGTACTCACACTCGCTCTTGTCAAAATCACATCTTCAACAGCCCTGGCTCATCTCACCAAACCTTCTTCGACACAGTCCAACATTCACGTCATCTGTCTGCAGGCTTGCTCGCAAAGTAACAACCGACGCGCAACCAACGCGCAACCAACGCGATCATGTCCGCTCTTCGCCACAGCGCACATCAAGTGCTGAGCAGCGCAGCATCCACCAGTCGACTCAGTCCAAGTATCATTCCGCCTCTGCGCTCTCAACGAATTCCCTCTCCTTTCGCACCCATCTCATCCATCTCCGCTTTCAGCACAAGCCGTCTGATTCGAGCCGCAAAGGATGACGCGAGTGGCGCGACGCCAGCAGAGGAATCTGCAGAGACGAAAGAGGCAGCTTTTGGTAAAGGATTGGGACTGAAAGAGACTGGAGAGGCGCAGAGTACGGGTAAAGGATCGGCTGCTGGAAAATCAGAGGCGGAGACCAAGTTGGCGGAAAGGGAGGCAAAGATCAAGGAGCTGACTGTGAGTTGTCCAACATCCCTCTGGAGGATGTGGGAGCATAGCACGCACACTTTCTCTCCGCTCGTCACTGCATGCGCTGACGTACGTGCCTCCATCTGCCACTTTTTTTTTACCACATAGGATCAATTGCTGTATGGTAAAGCGGACATGCAGAATCTGCAAAGAAGATCGGCCGAAGAAAAGGCTCAAGCATCAGACTTCGCCATTAGCAAGTTTGCGCGGGATCTGACTGCATCGCTCGACGTCTTGGCTCTTGCCTTGCGGTCCGTGCCCGAAGCGTTGCGTCAAGCGCCATCGGAAGTCAAGGACGCTCAAGATCCTCGCAAAGCTCTAGCTGAGCTTTACAGCGGTGTAGAGTTGACTTCCAAGAGCATCACCGATATGCTCGGTAGGCATGGTGTGACCGTCTTTGATCCTACGGGCGAAAAGTTCGATCCGGCTTTGCACGAGGCCATGTACCAGGCTCCCGTGCCCGGCAAGACACCCGGCACGGTTCTGGAATGCTCAAAGGTGGGATTCAAGATCAAAGGAAGGGTACTCAGACCTGCGCAGGTCGGTGTTGTTCAGGAGACCAGCTAGCCGAACAGACAGCCGGTGAGGCGACGCAGGGGGGAGATGGAAAATGAAGTAAATATCGAATACAGGCGCTTCACACGGTACGCACCATATGAGAGCGCATCCGTTCAGCCAGGGAAGTAGCTGCGTGCACCACATTATGGCGGAGGAACGACGGCTGCACAAGTTCGCCACACATCAACGAGCGCAAACAGTGCAATGCATAACCACCTTTCTTTTGCCTGTTTTGTCGCACTTTGCCTGCTGCTTGCTCGTTTGCTGCATTCGTGATCATTTGCTCTCGTCGCGTAGACAGCCCTTGACTCTAACCTCGCGCTCGCGCTCTTGATGCCTCTCGAAAGTACACAAAGGCTTGCTGCGCATTGCAAACCCGTTTTGAAACTCATCAGCCGCCACGTCAACCCCCTGTGATTCTGATTCTGGCCCATATTGATGCACGACGACCGCCTTGTCACTGACGCACCAGCGAAGCGTGATTGCATCCTTGTGCGTATTCAGCTCAAAGGAAGCGCAGTCAAAGATGCTTTGGCAGATCTATCAAACTTCGTCCATACAGTACAGGAAGCGCATGTCGAGAGGGAAGTAGGGGTAGAATTTGATCAAAAAAACTTTGGCTTGCGTGAGTTGAGCAAAGCCCAAAAGGGTTTGGTCAGAGAGCTGCCCATTGCGTGACGTGAGAAATGCCCTTGCTTTCGAAAGAAATGACACTCGAAGTGCGACGCGTGCCAGCTCATTGGGAAGTCGACATTGCAGCGCTGCTTGTATTCTGCGGCGAAGTTGCGCTTCGAGGCTCTTCAGCCTGCACAGCACGTTGCTCCGGCGGAGCCAGGTCCCGAACGCGTGAAGGGCTCCACTGTCCCGAGCCGTACACCAGCAGCTGGTTAGCGTAACGCTGCATCTCGTCCAAAGGTATGACCAAATGGAAGTCGTTCAGCAACAAAAACTGCAGCTCTAGCTGATTGAGCTCGTGCACAGGCAGACCTCCCACCTGTGCGGGACATCGAAAGTCAAAGACGGCGTAAGCATTCTGATATCGCGCCTTGGACAATCATCTCTGTGGATCTCAAAAGGTCTGCACAACTGACCTTGGCGTACCGAGAATTGGTGTAGAAGACATCAGAGAAGAATTTGCTGGCCACCGTTACGCCCGCAATGACTAGACGATGGACGTTGTAGCTATCGATCGCGAAGCCTTTCATCCCAGGATGAGGTTCTGCAAGCGCACTAGCAAATCCTGGATTATCTCTAGCCAACGCGCTACTACCGCTCGAGGCTTCTTCGCCATCTAAGGCTGGCAAACCAGCTGCTTGGCCCGCCGGACTTCCCGAGCCACTAGATCCGGGCGCAGCGCCCAATCCCATTCTGCTCATCCGATCGAAGTAGACCAAAAGCGAGAGAAAAACGTCGTTGGTGGTCGGGCAGTACTTGAGGATGCGCAACAAGTACGACTCGATGCTGATGCTCGGCACATTGCGTGCGTGAAAACAAAGCGTGCTGCTCTGGGTACCCAAAGCACCCAGTGCTGCGGTCGTAATCGGCGGCCAGCTTCCTTTGCCTTGGCTATCCGCACTTCCTGACATCATCCCCAAACCTTTCGCGGTTGCCAAGTCGTGCCTCGTATCACGGGCAGTTGTGGAAGAGGCGCCAGTGGAGGGCGCTGGAGAAGCACCATTCTGCGCACTGTCTGTCATCCCATCGCCTCCCGCGCCTGAGTCTGCGCCTTCCTGTCTTCTGCTGCCTCCCCTCGACCTCGACTCTTTCCGCCGGTCAGCGCCCGTACCGCCAGGTTTCAACTCGTCGTTAGCAGTCGCGATCTGGTTGAGCAATGCAGCGAGCACGCGCAACAAGTCCTGTGGCGGAAACGTCGCGAGGTCCAAGTGCTGTGCAGGCCCGCCTCCAGGTAAAGATTGTCCTTGCAACTCCCTGATCATGCTACTTCTTCGCGTCTTTGCCGTGTACTGTGGGCTAGTCTGCGCCAAGCGTAAAGCCTCTGTCGCAATTGCATCCGGCACCGCTTCCGTGCGTCTAGGTGAGTTGCGAATGTTCACGCGCGGAGAGACCGTAGACGCTGCTTGAGCCGCATCCGAGGTGCCACGCGCCCTTTCTAGACTGTCAGCCCGCGCATTCCAATCTTGCTGATGAGAAGGACCTGCCTCGGCCCATGAAGTCTCTTGCAGCGGACTAGTGGTTCTCCGAGTTTTGGAAGCAGGTCCATTGCCACTTCGCGACCGTGTCCGGTCCTCTGTTCCAGGCCCTTGAGACAGTTCAGCCATGCGGCTTTGGGGAGGAGACCTTGAGTAGCCTGATCGAGGCGAGCGCTCGATAGGCGTACTGCCCACAGCGTGATCGCCTCTGACGAAAGGTACTCCTGAGTGAGCCGCGCCCGAGTTTACCGAAGCATCGTATGCGACAGAGGCACTGGAGTGACTGGACGTCATGACGTTGGGAGAGAGTCTGCGAGAAGGAGTTGCAGCACTATGCGTCCGAGTGTCAGCAGTGGCGCCTGCTGCAGAGCGCAATGCTGACCGAGCTTCCTGCTGATTCGCTGACCCGGCGACCGCCCCGCTAGCTGAAAGAGCCTTTGCTGCTTGAGCGAGGTTGTGAGTGCTAGAGTGGTGGAGAAAAGGCAAGGTCGTGTCGGAGCTTGTGGCAATTGGCGGGCTAGTATTGTTGCTAGAAGCCGCTGAGGAGCCGCCACCTCGTCTGCCACCTACTTGAGACGAGCTGGGCGAAGAATAGTATGCTGGGGAATCAAAGGAGCCCGAAGACGATTGCGAGGGGGAGAGCGATGCCGGTTGACTTTGTGATTGTGGTTGTGTGGTTGGCGAGTCGCCCCAACGAGGCATCGTTGAATGCGCTTTCTGACCGGAAAGCTTGGGCGGAAGCAGCGCTAGACTGAGGAGCTGCGTTGACGTGCGCAAGGGAGAACGGGTAAGCACACATTGAAGATTCAGCACAAACGCCGCAGCATCGCTGCTTCCTCTGCTTTGACCCGGATGAAGGGAGTCTGTAGCGAGCAGAGTCAACGGTGGGATGAGAGCGGGTACTCACTCGCAAATATGGCAATCCATCCACGGATGTCTCGTGCAATGGGTTGGATGGTGGGTTGCTCTCGACTTGGCGCTGGAGCTGTGGAAATTGTGGTATCTATGTCGTCAATAGTGAGCTGAGAGAGAAGCGACCGACTGCGCGTGTGAATGAACGCTTGCAAGATGAAGTGTAGCAGGGGTTCAAGGTCACTGAGTGGTCCCTCCGCCGTGTCGGTAGTTCGCGTGGATGTGAATCAGTGTGAGTGGTCCGCGGTGGATGAATGATCGCAACGCTTGTCATCAGCTGGAGTCCAGGAGCGTCGTCGCAGCCCTGCTCACCCTCGTTGGGAGTAGAGGTGACAAGTCAAGCTTTGGACGTCAAGATGATGGGAGCAAAAGTCTATGGCATTAGCTAGCCGCGCATATGCGACCCGTCGGTCAGCCAGCAGCGTGAGGTTCAATCGCAGCACGCAGCACGAACCACGCATCACCGCCCGCGCCGCGCACTTGATTCACTCTATCCTAGCTGCTGGGCGCGCAGTCAAAAGGAGCAAAAAAACGCGCACGCTGCTGCATGCTGCATGCAGGGCGCGTGCGCTCGCGCTCGGGTGCGGATGCGAAATTATCGACAATCGTCAATAATCACCTATGCGCTTGCGCGCGCGCGCGCCGTTGGTCAGCCAGACTACAAGTCGCCCATTACAACGAGCTGGCTCAACTTGAAATGAAAGCTCAACCGCTTTGAAGAGATCTCCGACGCACGGATCTTGCTCCTCGCTCGCTGACGCGCACGGCCTCGCACTATACAATTACAACCAATGATCAAGAATAATGATCCGCATTTGCAGCAGATCTATTTGCAACACCGCTGACGGTCGTGAAGAGACGTGAGGTTTTGCATTCAAAATTTGATTGGTGATTGATCATTGCACGCATTTGCGCACGAATTGTTTCAGGCTCGATGTCCTGCTGTGCAGCAGCTACACTTGAAAGACCGCACCCAAGTGCTAAAGTACGATGTGTACTGTATCTCCACCCCTCAATTGGGACCCAGAATGCTGGAAGTCTCTCACGCGAGCGTGCAAGCGCACAATGCATGCAGCATGCAGCACAAAACGCGCGAGCGCTCGTGCGCTCCCGGAGCCGCGGTGGTAGAGGGTGCGAGTCGAGTATAGGAGTGTGCGAATGAATGCGGTAGCGCAGCTCAGACCAAAGGAGTCACAGTGTGTCTGATGAGGAAAATAGCGGCGTGCAGCAAGTGCAGCGAGCAGCAGTGGCAGGGTGTGCTGCATGTCACTGCTGTCACTGTCACCGTGACCGACCGCTGCTCTGGCTTGTTAGACACGCAGACTGTCTGCCCACGCATAGAGTTTGGGCACAAAGCGTCCGACACAATGGACCAGCAGCATTGGCTGCGAACGCGGCGGCGCACGGACGATCCCATCTGCTTGGGAGTAACGGCGTGACCGAACGCGTTGGCAGCCAGCAGCAAAGCTTTACCGGTACGTACTTCCTTTAAGCGGACTCGCCAGCCCTGACCGCCGCGCGAAGATTTGGAGAATCGTGAGTGCAGATGGCATGAGCGATCCCAAAGATCAAGATGGTGCAATTCGGCGCAGGTCTTGTCAATTTCGAATCTCAACCAACATGTACGCCGTAAACCAAACAAACACTTGCAGACAGACGGGTCAATCACTCCTTGTTCTTTTCGCAAAGAGACCGCCGTCAGGCCTTCACTGAGCTGTCTTGCGCATCACATTACTGCCACAATGGCTTCTCCGAATAGAGTCATCGGATTGGCGCAGTAGCCGATGCGAGTTTGGTACAGCATCACCACCACAAGCGGTGCGTGCCACATTGGTAGCCTACCAGAGACAGGAGCCAGGATGCGAGTCAGCGTCTCTGCCCCCCTCTCGATGCTCAAAACATTGAGCCGACGTGCCACTACTTACCCCAAGGGTTCTTGTGCAAGTACTCTTGATGATGCTCGTCGGCCTCGAAAAAGTCACCAGCTGGCCTCTCCTCGACCTGCGTGACAATCTTCTTTCCCTTTGGCGTAAAGTGCTTTTCCTGCACTTCGTTCGTCACCTTTTTGATCGCCTCCAGTTGCTCGGGAGAATGAGCAAAGATGGCGCTCCTGTACTGAGTGCCTCTGTCGTTGCCTTGAGCGTTGAGCTGCGTGGGGTCGTGCGTGCGATAGAAGAATTCGACGAGCTCGGCGTAGGATACCTTGCGGGGATCAAAAGTCACTTGCGCTGCTTCTGCATGACCCGTCCGGCCAGTGCACACTTCCTCGTAGCTTGGGTTCTTTGAAGACTCTTTGCCACCAATGAAACCGACCTTGGCATCGATCAGCCCTTTGCCTTTGTAGTGCTCCCGCTGTAATTGAAGAGTGGCGAAGAATGGCGATGTAGGCAAGGAGGTCAGCCAAGCGCACAGCCGTGATTGGAGCTCAGGTCTACACTTACGAAGATGCTGCACCGCAAAATTGCGTGGAGATGGGCCATTCAGCATACAGTCAAGTTGGCGAAATGGTCGTGCATGCAGTCCCCACTCACTGTTCAGTACCCCAGAAGCACCCGCTGGCAAAGGTACCTTTCTCGACGGCGTTCCCGTTGGTAGACATGCTTCTGGCCGATTGAGCAGCGATGGCAAAAGAAGTGGTCGGCTGAGTGGCAGGGCCTACGATCGTCGGAGGAGGCAAAGGTTTGAAAGCACCAAAGATGCGAGAGAACATGGGCAAAGCTACTAGAGCTATGAATGCAGCTAAGATCACCGAAGCGGCCGATAGCTGTTTAGGTTGGGCTGTATGCGCACCTCGAGCGGGCGTCGGACTGATAAATTGAGAATTGCTCGGAATGGTGGCGGCGTGAAGTTGGAAGTGCACTGTGTGGGATGGTGGTGGTCAGCTTGCGTGATTGACATTCCTTGTGCCGAGCGGCTCGCAGGTGGCGTGTCACACTCCACACACGCGGTAATGCCGCTTGACGTGGTTTGGCTAAGCGCACGTCGGCGGCGAATGCCGATGAGGGGAGGGCGGGCGCACGGGCCGTCACGCCATTGGCTCCCACGTGATCAGCCCCGATGTGTATGATGCAGCTGTAGGCGCGCATGACGCGCGAGCTTGAGCTCGAGCTCGACAGCCTCTTAGATCTAGAATCGGAATCACGAATAGCTGTATGGCTTTGTTTGGCTGCACGGATGAATGGACTCAGACTCTTGACTCACGACTGTCGTCCCAACGTGATTTTTGCCTCTCGACTCTACTCAGCGTTGTCGAATGCGAACGAGAAGCAGGAGAGTAAAGTCTGTCATCAACCAGTTCAAGTATCCGCCGTGCCAACCCTCCTCCGAAGCTTCCCGCGCCTAGTCTCCGGGCCAAGGACTACGAAACAAGGCGAGGTGCGGCATGCTCGCTCAGCGTAAGCCTGTGCCGCCGGTTCCTGCACCGTAGATAGAGGCAGCGATGGAGACCACTTTCGGAGAAGCGCTAGCGGCTGGAACATCACCACATTCCGCGAATCTGGCCGGAAGGAAGGACGCGCACGGCACAGAAGGCAAACTGTGTACTTTGCCATTGGAGATATTTGAGAAGATTCTTTCCCATCTCCCCTTTCCGCAATGCGCACGAGCACTGCTGACGCTGCGTTGTACATGCAGATCACTCCAAGCAATCAGCATACAGGCTCCCCTCTGGCGCAGGGTGATCGAAGCTGCTCACTCGAACGGCATCACTTTGCCAAGAGCGCCTCGAAATTCTGAGGTCAAACATAGCGAAAGCGCAGAAGAGCTGGAATGGTGCGCTCTGTACGGGCTTTCCAATACCCCCGACGCGCGCAGACTTCCTTGGAACTACTCTCTCAGAGCTCATGCCGATCGCATCACTTGTCTCAAGCTCGTGGCAGGACCAAGTCGAAGAGCTCGGAAGAGAAGGCGAACGTGCGAGACACCTCATGAGGCCTCAAGCGCCTCCCATACGGTCGAGGGCGTTCGTGGCAGGTACCGCAGGCAAGCTTGGCTTATCACTGGTGCGATCGATGGCTGGGTCAGGGTTTGGGACATTGGTCGGATGATCGAAGAAGAGCAAGGCAAGAGTAGGATGAAGGCCAGGGAGGATAGTGTCAGCCGCGGCCCGCCATCAGATGCCGCCACTGAATCGCCGGCCTCGCTCAGCGACCAGCTAGACTTGATGAGCTTGGAGTCTCAGAGGACCGGTTCTACAACGCCAGTACAGTCCAAGCCCCCGATATTGGGGGGTGATCCTCTGCCTCTACTTACCCCTCGAAGAAGGGCAGGTGGCAGCGCAAACGGCCCTCCAGAGTCGCACGCGAGGCTTGCTGGAAGGGAGTATCTTGTTTGCAGCATATGCACCGCTGCTGATGTCACGGCCCTGGACGCTGAGCTCGTGCACACCTTCCGAGACGGGACCGGGCAGGGAGAGCGCACAAAGCTGCGGATAGCGTGCGGTAGCTATTACGTGAGTGGCTGCTGCTTTCGTTGCGCAATATTTTAGCGAGCGTGCTGACGCTCTGAATGACATCTGCCAATAGGGTGACGCAGCTGTGACGTTATACGAGCTGGAGCTTCCAGAGGAGGAGGAAGAGGAAGCAGCGTCAGAGACATCTCGGGAAAGGCGTGGCTGCGCTCGTGATGCCACACTGGTCTCTACTCTTTCTCCGAGCGCGTGGTGCGGCGTTCAATGCCTTGTGCTTCGAGGGTCACTCATTGCAGTCGGCACCTACACCGGCCTGATACACCTTTGGCAGACTGGCATCGACCCCTCCTCATCTACGTCGCGAGAGACAGCCACTGTGGACAAGGCCAAAGAATGGAAGCATGTGATCGAAAGACCAGAGCGGAAAAGCGTTGCTGCCCTTAGGCTGGAACTCGGCAAGCAAGACGATGGCACACTTCCTTGCTTGCTGCTGGTCACTCGGACAGGCGAACTAGAATGGTGGACGCTTGCGCTTCCGGAGAGCGCAGGTGAAATGGGACAGCACGTGCCGCTGTCGACACAATCCAGTCTGCAGGCGGACACGAATGATGGAGCGACGAGCGATTCGCTCGAGTCGTTCGCACCGGTACGCAGTGGCCCTCACTCTACCTTACGAAGCAGAAAGGATGTGGTAGTGGAGCCAGGGCAAGAATCCGACCCTGAGCCTCAGATGTTGTCGAGGTTCTCGCTAGGCGACGGATTGACACCGATGCTGGGGCTCGGCTTCTCGGAGCCTGACGATGACGTCGCCGGCCGCTTGACGAGAAGAAAGAGGCCTGGGAAGGACCGGTGCCTCAGCTTGATGCTCGGCGACATGACTGGCGTCTCTCATTGGCAATTCTCGCTTCCAAAGGAAAGTTCATCGGATTGGGAGATGCGATTGCCTTACATTTCAGAGCCAGTCCGCGTGGGACGTAGAGAAGTGGTTAATGAACGCCCCATAGGACTAGCCTTCGGTCAATCTGGCGATAGGGCTATCTTTCACTCCAGTCTCGGCGGCGTGCCACCTTTGTGCTGTGTACGCCTCTACCACGCTGATCGGTCCGACATGGCCATCATAAGTCCGTTCGAAGGCTTGGCCGAGAAGAGCTCGCTGCCTTGGCAAGCTGGAATGAGAAGAGGTGTCAACGGTGCGGAACGGCTACCCAGCGCAGCTGGCAGCGCTCCATTGCCAAGTCCGACATCGACAAATTTGTCAGTGGACACCGAATCGGAACAGCTTGGCACGCCCAGCGCATCAGCCGGTCCTACATCATCCTCCAATTTGTCTTCTGCTCTCGCAGGTCTCAGAGGCAGGCAACGTCCAGCAGTGGGCGGCTCGACGATGAGAATGTTCGAACCTCCTCCAGAAGATTCCGGCTCGGCTTCCAAGTCGGCCTTGCAGATCGACACGAACGCAGCCGAGTCTGAACAAGCAGCGGTGTCGACGTCGACGTTCACGTCCAATGCACCTGCTCATCAACATGGTATCAAAAGAGCCGACATCCTGACCGAGGCTGCTTATGCTGACAGTCTTGGCATCACCATCTTTGCTACCGCAAGAGGTTACCTGCACATTACGGATTGGTGCACCAGCGCACCCACGTAACTCTCACATTCGCGAGGCAGAGGGATGTATCGTCGATGACATTCTTCATAAATTGCAACCCTGCCCTTGCCTTTTTCGGAGAGCAGCAGCCTCTCGCATGTTGAAATCTTGGGACCCTATCCTGTCGAAGCTATAGAATGCTCATTCGGTCAAGTCTAGGCGATCTTCCAATTGAGCCTCTCGCTCCATCCGGTCTGCAGCAGGTTGGCGAGCTCGGCGACGTCTTTGTCACCGCGGCCGGAGAGCGAAACGACGATATCGTCGTCCTTTGCAAACCTTTTGGCCAGGTCGAAAGCCTTGATGAGCGCATGAGAAGTTTCGAGAGCGGGCAGAATACCCTCCTGAGCGCGTCAAGTGGCCAGAGCAAGCAGTGCTTGGTCAGCGTCAGGTGACTTGGACGGGTATGGGAATCTGTTTCGTGCGGTGTGCTTCGCGAGTCGGCATGTGACACTTACGAGCTGAGCCAGCAATCTGAAACCTTGAAGGGCCTCTTCGTCCGTTGCAGCGATGTATTCTGCCCTTCCAGAGTCCTTCAACCAAGCGTGCTCAGGTCCGACCTGAGGGTGTTGTGGGAAAGATGTGGTATGAGCACGAGCACCAATGCACGTCGCATCGGCAAACAAAATCACATGAAAGTTGCCTGATCACTCACACCTGGATAGTCAAGCCCAGCAGAAATAGAGTGCGTCTCTGTAATCTGACCATCGGGAGCTTGAAGCAGATAGGTGCGCACACCGTGCAGCACACCAGGCGTGCCCTTTGACAAGGTGGCCGAGTGCCTGTTAGTTTCGATGCCTGGCAAAGACGAGGGGAAGATGGTGCGAATACGTCAAGCATGGTACACGTGGGCCACAACAAGCAAAACGCGTGCAGGCTCACCATCGCCGCCGGCCTCTACTCCAATGAGCCTGACTGTGGGGTCGTTGATGAAAGGGTGGAAGATGCCGATGGCATTGCTTCCACCTCCAACGCAAGCAATCACAGCGTTCGGCAACTTGTTCTTCTTCTCCTTCAATTGCTGCTTGACTTCTTTTCCGATGATGGATTGGAAGTCTCTAACCAAGCTAGGGAACGGGTGCGGTCCAATGGCTGATCCGACGAGATAATGCGTGTTGTGTAGATTGGTGACCCAGTCTCTATTCGCTTCATTGATCGCATCCTTCAACGTCTTGCTGCCGCTCTCCACAGCCACAACCTTGGCACCGAGCATCTTCATCCTAAACGCATTCAGGCTTTGTCGCCTCACGTCTTCGGCTCCCATGTACACGACGCATTCCATGCCGAAGCGGGCGCAGGCCGTGGCAGTAGCCACGCCGTGTTGCCCAGCTCCAGTCTCGGCGATGATTCTCGTCTTGCCCAACCTTCTCGCTACCAGGATTTGCCCCATCGCATTGTTGATCTTGTGACTTCCCGTGTGGTTGAGATCTTCTCGTTTAAGCCAGATTCGCGCACCCCCAGCAGCTTCGGTCATTCTCTCTGCAAGGTACAGCTCTGAAGGTCTGCCAATGTACTCGTAATGACTCTCAAATTCTTTCCAGAAGGATGGATCGTTGATGCAATCCAGGTACGCCTTTTCCAATTCGGCGTGCGCATCGAACAGAGCTTCCGGCACGTATTGTCCTCCGAATTTGCCGAACCGAGGTGGCCGAAGTTGTCCAGAGACGGGATCGACAGTCGGGTCTAGACCTGGCACCGGCGGTCTATCGCCATTCACGACCGCGTCCACTTTTGGAGGTTTGACTCCATCAGGCTGATTGATCGCGTCCGAAATCTTGATGGGCTTTCTTTCATTTTGTCGCTTGATTCCCCCCTCTGCCTTGCCCGTGATCTCCTCGCAGTACGCGCGAGCTGCTGCTACACGCGCTTCCGTCGTAGCTGGCTGAGCATCTCGGAGCACAGCGACCAGCCTGGAACCAATGACGACTCCATCGGCGTGCTCGCCAACCTGCACAAAATGCTCTCTCGTCGCTACTCCAAAGCCGACCGCCAATGGAACATCCGTGATGCTGCGAATACGCTCCAGCATGGAAGGAAGACTCTCAGAGACTGTGTTGGACACGCCCGTTGTTCCCATCTTGGAGACGACGTAGATGAAGGAATCGGCAAGCTTGGACAGGTGCTGAATGCGCTTGTCCGAGGTTGAAGGCGCAATGAGCGGCACGTACGAGAGACTGAAGAGCAGTCATGGAGCGTGAGTGGAGAGCAAAGTGACGTGATGTACCCATCGTGACCAAAGCACAGTGGCACAAAATCTGGCGCCTCGGGATCTGTACCAGCCGCGAGACTCACCCATCTGCAGTGCAAAATCCTCTGAAGTCCTCGGCCTCTTCGGGAGGCAGATCGACCACGATGAAACCATTCGCGCCTGCCACTTTAGCATCTTGAACCGCCTTTTGTTCTCCATGTGCCAAGAGCGGGTTGTAGTATCCCATCAGTAAGACTGGCGCTTTAAGGCCTCTAGAACGAGCTTGTTTCACATAGGACAAGCAAGTTTTGTAGTCCACGCCCTGCTCGAGGGCGACCTGTGGGCAAGAAAATGCAGGAAAGAGCCGAACACTGTGAGCGATGCTGGTGCAACATATTGCGCGGGTTGCACACGCACCTCGTTGCTGCGTTGAATGGCAGCGCCATCTGCTTGAGGATCGGAGAAGGGCACTCCGAGCTCGATGATGTCCGCGCCACCAGCTTCGAGACCGAGTAGAACATCCACAGTGTCTTGCTTGGCTGGAAAACCCGCAGTGACAAAGGAGACGAAAACTGCTTCGTTCTGAGGTCGCGTGGGAATGGAGCAGGGGCGGCGGTTGGTAGGCCTGTCAGCAAAGCAACCCACGACTGGCGTTCACACTCCATCACCGCCATCCGCGAGGTCCACTGCATCTTTCGCTGCTCACCTTGGCTGCTTTGGCGGAAAACGTCGCCTTGATGGCGTCGGTCATGGTGCACGTGCTGATCTGGCCCAAGGCAGGTCTTTAGGGTGATCAAGCTGCGGGGAGGATGTGGAGTGACGACGCAAGAGGCGTCAATGGCTTTTTGGTCCTCGCGTAGTGCCTGCTCAGAGATGGTAGTGGCTAGCCTCACGATTGCCGAGAAGGTGTTGCAAATTTGCTTGAGAATACGTCAATGATGCTTGCTGATGGAAGAAGCGGCGAGGATGAGAGGAAGTCTGGTGACTTGGAACATGCAGTACCGCTGCTCTGCTGCTGCTGCTGCTGCACGCATGCCTGCTCCTCGGTGACTCACTCGTCTTGCCTTCTCTGCGGGCCCGGTCGAGCCTCAGCTGCTGGGGAAGATTTATATAAGCTCATCGCGCATCAAGTGGCGGAATCGTTCACGTGATCATTTCTTCCTGCACGGCGATAACGCGGCCTGCTCGTGACTCACGACGGTTGACTGCCAAAGTAGGTATACAGGTAATTCATGCAGCCTAGCTTCCTCCCTTGGATCATGGCTGCTGCTCTGGTCGAAAGTGACTCGATTCAGTAAATGATTCACAATTTTACATCGAGGTCAATCATCGATGCGTGCAGTGCGGACCGGGCATTCAATCCATCATCGTCTACTACCATCTGCCTCAGTCAGCCTGTCTACTGCAACAGCGTACCTCAGTTCCTCGACAATAATACAGACACCGCTTCATTCCCTCTGCCCATCATGTCACCGTCTGCCGCGCCCTGCAGTGCGGGACCTGCAAAGGAAGGCTTAGTACCAGGCCTGAGCAACTCTCAAATCGCCGCCGTCTCTTCGCTCAAGCCTGCCCACTTCGACCTTTCCAAAGTGATCCGGCCAAACATTCTGAGTCTGGCGCCATACAGGTGCGCAAGGGACGACTATCAAGATGGCATATTGTTGGATGCCAACGAGAACTCTCTGGGTCACTCTTTACCTCAAGGAAGCTCTTTTCCCGCCTTCCAAGCAAGTCACGACAATGCAGGTGCGAACGGAGCAACCAGCGTGTCGGTACCTCGGACTGGCGCTTTGCCCAAGGACGATCCGCTGCAACTTCACCGATACCCAGATCCCAGTCTCTACAACATCAAGCCCACCCTCGCTTCCCTCCGTCAGCTTCCAGATGAAAGCTACGTGATGCTCGGCGTCGGCTCAGACGAGGTGCTGGATCTTCTGCAAAGAGTCGCTGCTAAACCTGGTCAGGACGCCATCTTGATATGCCCACCAACCTACGGCATGTATAGCGTGTGCGCTGCGGTGAATGATCTGGATGTCATCAAGGTTCCTCTGAATGTCGAGGGCGGCAATTTCAGTCTAGATGTGGACAAGGTGAGTTCGCGTGGCCTGGCTTGCTTAGCACAGCACACGTGCAGTACATCCGACGAGTGAATTCGGTACGATCTTTTCCTCTTGCGCCCGCTTTCGCGCCTGCCCGCAGATCCTGTCCACCCTGTCTGCCTCACCGCAGATCAAGTTGATCTTCCTTTGCTCGCCCGGAAATCCGACTGGCACGCTTCTCTCCCTGGACTCCATCCGACGCACCCTCGATTATCGAGACTGGAACGGCTTGGTGGTGGTTGACGAAGCATACATTGACTTTGCAGAGGAGGAGCTGAGGTCGGGTAAGAGGTCGGTGGACGCTTCGGCCGTGTCTCTGTTGAAGGAATACAAGAATCTGGTAGTGACTCAAACTCTGAGCAAGGCTTTTGGTCTTGCTGCCATCCGGTGAGTA